TAGACCGCCATCTTGCCGGAGTCCTCCAAGAAACTATTTTTAAATAGGCACAGTGTTTTGTTTTGTTTTTTATGGGCACACTCTCTTCAAATACGGTGAAATTAGCGAATCATAACAAAGAGGATACATGTTTTGGAAAAATATTGGGATACATTTATATAAGCTAGCACTTATCAGATGAGGAAACTTGGTCCAGAGACAGTAAGTAACTTTTAAAGGCAATATTGTTAGTTTATGCCAGAGCCAGCTTTAGAACTTGAGTTCTGATTTAGTGCTTTGTTTGTTGCATCTTTCACTTCAACTGCAACAGAGGGTCTCCATTTAAATGACATTCAGATTCAATCACCAATATGGATGTCCTATTAGCTTAGTTAAAGAAGTTCCACTTGTGCTTATTTATATAGCTTACTAGGTTAGGATGGGGCAATGATGGTTCAGTAGTAGAATTCTCACCTCCCATGAGGGAGATGTGGGTTCAACTCCTGGGCAATGCACCTCTTGCCCAGCCACTACCCGTCTATCAGTGGAGGCATGCACGTTGCTATGATGGTGAAAAGGTTTCAGTGGAGCTTCCAGAAGACAGTCTAGAAAGAGAGGCCTGGATATCTACTTCTGAAAACCAGCAAATGGAAACCCTACGAAATCAAAACAGTCTGATCTGCAACTGATCCTGGGAATGGCACAGGACCAGGTGGTGTTTTGTTTTGTTTTGCATGGGGTTGCCTTGAATTGGGGGGCCAACTCTAAGGCAGCTAACAACAACAATAAAAGGTCAGTAGCCATATGCAGAAGCAACAGAAGTAACGGTATAAAATTATATACTTACATCTGGAAATGACGACCAATTTGGGTTTTCTTCATCCATTTAACCTGCATTTGTCTATATCTTCTTCGTGCTCACTGTCTTTTGTTTTGATCAGATTTACAAAGTACAGTATCTGTAGCTCTTGTAGAGATAGGAAGACAGGGCTGAACACTGTTGTTAAGAGCACTAAATCTTAGCTCTGCCACCTAGGAGCTGGGTGACCTTGGGCAAGTTACTGAACCTCTTAAAGCCTCAAGTTCTTTATTTTGTAAAATGGAGCTATTTATACCTAGCTCATAGTATTTGTACTTTGTTATTATTATTATTATTTTTGATATGTGTATTAAGAACTCAAAATAGTGACTGGCATATAATAAGTGCTCAAAATATGGTAGTTATTATAATTATTAAAAATAATTATTTAAAAATAACCTTATTGTTCATTATGAACAACAAATATGTTTAACTGGTACATACTTTTCTATGGTTATTTAACTGGTTTCTAAATTTTTTGCCCCCTTCCTTTCCGCTCCATCCCAGCTAGCACTTACCCGCAGACTCTTGCCCAATGAAGGTCAATAGGAGCCCATTTGGGCAAGACACATTTAGGTTTTGGAAGGTGGGAACATAAACAGTCTCTTGTACAACAGATTCTGGTTCTACTTCTTCCTGTAAAATAAATAAGTTAGCATGTGAATAATTGCTTCTTGTTTTCTAAATGAGTTTTTGATTTATTTTGACTGAACACTTGCTGAGTGTTTAGGATGTGACTTGCCCAGGGCAAGGTGGGCCCTGCAATGCAGCCTACAAGGATGCATGCATCTCTGCTTTTGTGCAGTTTATATTCTACTTGTAGAATGAAACACAGACATGCGAAACTAAAGTTAAATAATGGTACCGATAGTCGGCACATCTTTCCTCAGAAAAGGGAGATATGAAGTTGACGCGAATAATTAAGAAAGGATTCAAGGTGGAGCTGGGGCTTGAACTGGGCCTTTAAAGATGTCTTTAATCAGATGTCTAAGTTTAAGGGTAGGGTACACAGGAAAACAACATCCCATTGCCTTCTTTGTGTAATTCTTACACTTAGATGCTAGAGATATTATACTATTAAGATATGTGTCCTTATTTTTCTGCAATGAGCATATATTGCTTTTGTAGTAAGTAAAAACAATAAAAGAAAAGAAAAAACACAATAAAAGAAATGATTTATAAATTAATGAGGATTTGGGTGTGTCTAAGAAAGCACTCAGCTGCTAGCCAAAAAGGTCGGTGGTTTGAACCCACCAGCCACTCCATGGAATTAAAGCCTTGGAAACCCTACGGGACAGTTCTGCTTTGTCCTATAGGGTCACTATGAGTCAGAATCGACTTGCTAGCAGTGGGTTTAATTATTCTAATTAATTTTGTGCCAACTATGCCTGAATCCTTGTTGGTTATGTGTACTCAAGAATGAAACTTATAACATGGTGCTATAAACAGAAACACCATGCTGTCTCTCCACAGCAAAGACCAAAAAACTAAGTAAAACAGAGACAAACGTCCATCCTGGAACCCTAAGTGTCAAATGAAGAGATAAAGAACTCAGCCAAGCACTGAATGGAGTAAGAAACTGACAGAGAACAGAGAGCAAGGAGAGATAAGTGCAGAGGTCCCTATCAGCTAACACAGCACGGATTTGCCATCTTGGACACCTGTTGGAGATTGGCGGACAGGGAGTACGGGAAAGCAGCTTCACGGGGCCCCCAGCAGGAGACAGAGCACCCTGTAACCACCAATCCTTCTTACACCTGCTCAACCTCTGCTGCTTCATAGCTGGCCGCAGTAGCTCAGCTGGCCGGGAAGTGCAGGGTCCCTGCCGCTTGGATTTGCAACACCCACGTCAGAGATCTGTGGACAGGGAGTACTGGAAAGAAGCTTCACGGAGCTCCCAGTAGGAGACAGAACAACTGGTAACCAGCAATATACACTTTCCCATTCCCCACCATTCTTCACCCAATACTGGGAATCATGGGTTAGCCAAATTGATACACATATTTTTGGGGGACACAATTCAATCCATGACATTGGGGAAGGACCTACTAACATATTACCTAACCAAGATTCACATCAGTTTCTGGTCAACATGGCACTATAGACAGAAGCATCAAGCTGCCCCCAATAGCAAAGATCTGAAAAACCAAGCCAAACAGAGAAAACGGCCATCCTGAAACCCCTAAGCATCAAATGAAGAGATAAAGAACACAGCCAAGGACTGAATGGGATAAGAAACTGACAGAGAACAGAAAGTGAGGAGAGATATGTGCAGAGGTCCCTTATTAACTAATGCAGCACGGATCCGCCATCTTGTACTCCTATTGGAGATGGGTGAACAGGGAGTACGGGAAAGCAGCTTCACAGAGCTTCTAGCAGGAGACAGAACAACCAGTAACCAGCAATATACGCTTTCCCATCCCCTACCCTTCTTCACCCCAACTCGGCCTCCTCTGCTTCCTGCGGCCACAGTCTGGGAAGCACCGGCTTCACCCCAGTGCTTCTTGGCTTCCTCCCGCCCGCACTGGCCAGCTCCCTGAGTGCCATTTGTTGGCTGCTGGTGTTGCTTTTTCCCACTTCTTTTGATTTCTTCTGTACCTCTCACCACCTCCCCCTCCTTTCTCTCAAACACCTGGCTCCGTGGGCCATCTTTCCTTCTTCTTGAAAGACTGTGAAGTGTCGCTCAACTGTGGAACTGCTTCCCAGCCTGCACAGCCATGTTGGTGGGATCCCCGGGGCTTTCTCTTCTTTCTTTCTTTATTTTTGTTTTGAATTGTTCTTTTTGTTTGTTTTTTCTTTCCTTCGCTTGGGAGACCCTTCTAGCCAGGCTATACTGTGCGACTTAGGAGCTACTTCCGAGTCTGCGGAGCTGCACAGTGGGACCCCAGGGGCATTATTTTTTTTCTTTTTTTTTTCATTTTCTTTCCTTTCTGTCTTTCTTCATTTTGTATTTTCTCATCTTTCTATACTTACCTTCTCTTCGGGTCTCCTGAATACCTGGTGCTGTGTGACTTTTATGCCCATTCCTACCAGGCTGTACTTCACAGCCTGGGAGCCACTTCCCTGGACTTTGGAGCCACACTGGTGGGATTCCTGGGGATTTTTCTTGTTTACTAATTTTAAATAATTTATTTATTTTCTTTTTCCCTTTTTCTTCTTTTTTTCTCCATTTCATGGTTCTTCATCTCTCCACTCCGATGACAAGCTCCCTTAGCATACTTCTTTGTTTGTTTGTTTTCGGCTTCTGTTTCTCTCTACTCTCTGTCCTCTTTCCCATACCCATCTTAGCTCCACACATCACAATCTCCCCCTTCCTTCTTGCCTACCTGCACCAGGTGCTGAATGTCACACCCCTGAGCAGCACAGGCACAGCCTATTGGATCCTGCCCTGCACTGATTCCCAGCCTGCCTTGCTGGCTGTAGTGCATGCCACAAACAACCCATCCCAGCAACTCCCCTTCAGCTGGACCTGCCCTGCTGTACCATACCTGAGTGACTGGCTCTGCCCATTGGAAAGGAGGTAAAAAGTTTCGTGCCCACAAGCAAGCAAACAACAAAAACACATAGACCGCCTGCTTAGACGTAACCAAATAAAGCAAAAAAATATGATGAAACAAACAAATCTAAAATCAATAAACAAAGAAAATAACTACTGAATGTCCCGAAGACAGCAGACAATATCAAAACATAAAAAAACAGGACAGGATGGTTTCAGTAGGCATCCAAAATAAAACACCAGATGGCTTTCCAGTAGAAGAAAAGGCACTAGAACTACCTGATAGGGAATTCAGTGCTATCCAAGAATTGAAGCAAAAAGTAAACAAAACAGAGGAAAAACTAGATAAATTCATGGAATAGGCCGATAAATTCATGGAAAACACTGACAAAAAAAAAAAAAAAGGAAGAATTCAGGAAAATAATACAGGAACAAAATGCCAAAATAAATCACAACTAGAAATCATACAAAAACGACAATTAGAATCCAAAAGATAAACAACAAGATTTCAGAAAAGGACAGGTGTCATTGAAGGTCTGAGGAGCAGGTCTGAAACAATGGAAGACAGGATCAGCAAAATGGAAGGCAAATACTTGGATACAACTCTGTTAGAGGAAAACCCAGAAAAAAGAACAAAGAAAATTGAAGAAACCCTGAGAATTATGTAGGATAATATCAAAAGCAAAAGTTTTTGAGTGATTGGAGTTACAGATCAGGGGGAGCAAACAGAAAACACAGACAGGATCATTGAAGAATTGCTGACAAAAAACTTCCCCACCAATATCATGAAATATGAAAAGCTGACCGTCCAAGAAGCTCAATGAACCCCATATAATATAGACCCCAAAAGAAAATCACCAAGGCATATCATAATCACACTCACTAAAACCAAAGACAAACAAAGAATCCTGAGAGCAGCTCGAAAAAAACAAAAAATCACATACAGAGAAGAAACAATAAGACTAAACTTGGATTATTCGGCAGAAACCATGCCGACAAAAAGGGAATGGGATGACATATATAAAACCTTGAAAGAAAAAAATTGCCAGCCAAAAAGAATATATCCTGCAACACTCTCATTCAAATAGGATGGTGAAATTAGCACATTCACAAATAAACAGAAATTAAGGGATTATGTAACAACCAAACCAAATTTACAAGAATTGTTAAACTGAGTCCTTAGGTCTGAGAACAAACAACATCAGACCACAACCTGAATCTAGGAAGCAAGATGGTACCAGCTACATGCCAGCCTAGGAAATGAACTCTTAAGTAATATCCAAAATAAAAAGAATTAGAACAGGGAACCAGAAAGGTTAATCCGTAAATGATGACAACATTAGAACAATAAAAGAGGGAATAAATGGTGTAGGTATAGAACTTTCTAATGGACAGGAAGGCAAGGTGATAACAAGTAATAATAGCCTGGATCAAACCTAGGAAGACTAGGTAAATTTCAAGGTAACTGCAAAGAAAGTTAACAAAACTACTCATCAAAATAAAGAAGAAAAACATAAAGTCTCATTTAAAACAAAATCTACAAAAACAAGAAATGAAAAAAAACCCCACAAACAAAAGGAATTCAGCACAGGAGAGTAAGAGGAACAAAGAAAACGTCAGCACCACAAAAAAAAAGCAGTACAAAATGACAGCAATAAACTCACACCTATCAATAATAACACTGAATGTAAATGGCCTAAATGCATCCACAAAGAGACAGAGTGACAGAATGGATAAAAAAACAGGATCCATCAATATGCTGTCTACAAGAGACACACCTTAGAAACAAAGACATAAATTTATTAAAAATCAAAGGATGGAAAACATATATCAAGCAAACAGCTACCAAAAAAGAGCAGGAGTGGCAATACTAATCATAGATAAAATAGACTTTAAACCAAAATCAAACATAAAAGACAAAGAAGGACACTATATAATGATTAAAAGGAGGAGTCATCATGAAGACATAACCATAATAAACATCTATGCACACAATGACAAGGCTCCAAAATAAATAAAACAAACTCTAACAACACTGAAAAGAGAAATTCACAGTTCCACAATAATAGTTGGAGACTTCAACACACCACTCTTGGTAAAAGACAGAACATCTAGAAAGAAACTCAACAAAGATACAGAA